TAAATTTGAACTGCTCGATTGAATGTTTAGAATTGCTAAAGGGGAGGGAGGAAGATTAAATAACATGGAGCTTTTGGCCTGTGGTGCTTGGTTGTACTTCCAGGAAGGCTGGGAGGTTATTGATCTAGGTTTGCAGTTTCAAATTGCCAGGGAAGATTGAAGATGTAATTTTACTCAGTGGCAGGCATCAAGACCCTGATCCTGCTGCTCTTTGTACATGGCTGGCCATATGGCTGTGCCCACACAGAGCCCCACTGATTTTAATTGGCTTCCACAGGGGTGCTGCCAGTCTGCCTGTGACATTATCTGATTAAAATATAACCATATAGATCATTGTTGCAACCACTGTTATATATTTGCAGCAAATCTTGTGCAAAGGTTGTCAAGTGAGGTGTTATGATTTGCTGGTTATGATTATTCTATCTTTATGCATGTATCATTTTTGTATTTGAAGTTTTAAGTATTGGTTTTATACCTGGATTTCAAATGTTTGCTCCTAGGGTAACACCCACAAGGTAGCTAGCCAGCACATCTTGGAGCGACTATTCAAATTGAGTAGCCCATCGAAAGAACATTTAACTCACAATGGACCATGGGACATGCCCATCTACACTTAATGGCATTTCCTGCTGTGACTAGGCAAAATGCATGGACATGTGACTTGCCTATGTGACTCCAAACTCCATCGTGTTGCTGTAATTTTCCACAGTAAGAACAATGGGATTCCCTCCACATGGCAGAAGCTATAAAAGGCCCTGGAAACTCCTCCATTTTGTCTCTATCCTGTTCCAGCCTCTATCCTGAACAAGCCTCTGGACTACGAACTTATACTAATGGGAGCATTCTAACCAATGGACTGAGGACCTTCCAATGATTTGGAAGCAACCAGAGACTTATCAAGCCAGCAGTTTATTCCATCACTGCTACAAGCCTGAACCAAGAACTTTGCAATTACTGTATGTATTTGATTCCTTTAACCAATTTTAACTCTCACCTTTCTTTCTTTCTTTTTATGAATAAACCTTTAGATTTTAGATACTAAAGGATTGGCATCAGTGTACTTTTTGGGTAAGATCTAAGTTATATATTGACCTACGTGTGTGTGGCTGATCCTTTGGGATCAGAAGAACCTTTTAATTGATGAGACTGATTGTAAAGAACCACTCACCTTTAAATCTAGTGTTTTCAGTGGTAATACAAGGACTGGAATGCCAGAGGAAACTGCTTTTATGACTTCTAGTTAGCCAGTGTGGTGAAACAGTTGTTTATTTTTGTTGCTGGTTTGGTATATCCTATGGGGGATTAGCCACCAGTCTTGGGGTGTATCTGCCCTATTTCTCAGCAGTTCGTCCTGAATTTGGCATCCTCAGTTGTGACACACTGAGGCACGGTTACGCTGCCCACTTGCAAGAAGTTGCAGAATCAGGGCCCAAAAGATTCAGTTTGGTTTTGGTAAACTGTTTATGCTGATCAGAACGTTATTGAGAGAGAATTGCACAGCCCTCACATTGGTAAAATTAGGTTCTCTTATGAGGTTGCCAGTACTACTTTTTTCCTGTCAGGCCAACTATACTGCTTTAAACAACCTTTCTTGGTATTGCAGCTTTCCCACTTAGAGTTGAAACTAGAAAGTGCGGAGAGATGGGACAATGAAACATGCTCAGGGACAGGGAGGTAACCAGCCTCTTCCAAATTCCCAAGGCATAGCTAAGGTTTGGTTTAAATGTCAGGTGAAGTTTAATCTTTGACTGAGTGGGAGCATGTTTGTTTTTTACCAATTATTAAATGACTGGCTAGTTCATTCCACAATCACCTATCAAGGTCAAGCTTGATTTAGAAATCCAATTAACACATTAGGTAACTGGGCAAACAACTAAATTGTGGTCATTTGTGAGTGCAGTCCCCTGATTTATACACGAAACTATGTGAATAAATTATCAGAGGGGTAGCCGTGTTAGTCTGAATCTGTAAAAAGCAACAGAGGGTCCTGTGGCACCTTTAAGACTAACAGAAGTATTGGGAACATAAGCTTTCGTGGGTAAGAACCTCACTTCTTCAGATGCAAGTAATGGAAATTTCCAGAGGCAGGTATAAATCAGTAAGGAGATAAGGAGGTTAGTTCAATCAGGGAGGGTGAGGTGCTCTGCTAGCAGTTGAGGTGTGAACACCAAGGGAGGAGAAACTGCTTCTGTAGTTGGATAGCCATTCACAGTCTTTGTTTAATCTTGATCTGATGGTGTCAAATTTGCAAATGAACTGGAGCTCAGCAGTTTCTCTTTGGAGTCTGGTCCTGAAGTTTTTTTTGCTGTAAGATGGCTACCTTTACATCTGCTATTGTGTGGCCAGGGAGGTTGAAGTATTCTCCTACAGGTTTTTGTATATTCCCATTCCTGATATCTGACTTGTGTCCATTTAGTCCTCTTGCGTAGTGACTGTCCAGTTTGGCCAATGTACATAGCAGAGGGGCATTGCTGGCACATGATGGCATATATAACATTGGTGGACGTGCAGGTGAATGAGCCGGTGATGTTGTAGCTGATCTGGTTATGTCCTGTGATGGTATTGCTGGTGTAGATATGTGGGCAGAGTTGGCATCGAGGTTTGTTGCATGGGTTGGTTCCTGAGTTAGAGTAGTTATGGTGCGGTGTGTGGTTGCTGGTGAGAATATGCTTAAGGTTGGCGGGTTGTCTGTGGGTGAGGATTGGCCTGCCTCCCAAGGTCTGTGAAAGTGAGGGATCATTGTCCAGGATGGGTTGTAGATCACTGATGATGCGTTGGCGAGGTTTAAGCTGAGGACTGTAGGTGATGGCCAGTGGAGTTCTGTTGGTTTCTTTTTGGGGCCTGTCTTGTAGCAGGAGGTTTCTGGGTACACGTCTGGCACTGTTGATTTGTTTCTTTATTTCCTTGTGTGGGTATAGTAGTTTTGAGAATGCTTGGTGAAGATCTTGTAGGTGTTGGTCTCTGTCTGAGGGGTTGGAGCAGATGCGATTGTACCTCAGCGCTTGGCTGTAGACGATGGATCGTGTGGTGTGTCCGGGGTGGAAGCTGGAGGCATAAAGGTAGGCGTAACAGTCGGTGGGTTTTCGGTATAGGGCGGTGTTAACGTGGCCATCGCTTATTTGTACTGTGGTGTCTAGGAAGTGGACCTCCCATGTAGATTGGTCCAGGCTGAGGTTGATGGTGGGGTGGAAGCTGTTGAAATCATGGTGGAATTCTTCCAGGGTCTCCTTCCCATGGGTCCAGATGATGAAGATGTCATCAATGTAGCGTAGGTAGAGAAGGGGTGTGAGTGGACAAGAGCTGAGGAAGCGTTGTTCCAGTTCAGCCATAAAAATGTTGGCATATTGTGGGGCCATGCGGGTGCCCATAGCGGTGCCACTGGTCTGGAGGTATATATCGTCACCAAATTTGAAATAATTGTGCATGAGGATAAAGTCACAGAGCTCAGCAACAACAAGTGAGGTTCTTACCCACGAAAGCTTATGCTCCCAATACTTCTGTTAGTCTTAAAGGTGCCACATGACCCTCCGTGAGTAAATTAGATACTTAGCTCCATGTGTGTTTTGGGCACAGTTGTGCAGCTAACTTTTACAAATGAAACCATTACTGATGGCTTGAGAATGACTAGACGATACAGCACAGGATAGCAAGAATGTGGCCTTCTCAGCATCAGTCTGCAACAGCAGCTCTATGGTCTACAGTCATTGGCCAACTGCCTCAAATGAGCCAGTCCTCTTGTCCCCTCAGTCATACTTTGAGCCTGTGGCTTCCCATAATCAGACTTCAAACAAAGGCTCATGTTTCAAGCCAGCAAAGTGCTTAACTGAAAATATGGCAGAGCTTTGGGACCAGTCTTAGTTGCCTGTCACAGCAAGGCAGAGGGCCTGGGGATGCAAAATTGGCTGGAAGCCACTTCACCCCTACAATCCTCTGGCTGCTGGGAACCAGGCCAGTCCTGAGGAGCAATTTAGAGCCTCTTGCCACAAACAACCACCTTCCTGGCTTTTCACAGATGGGTCAATAGGGAGAAGGCACTCTGAACCTTACATTAGTCACATAAATCCAGAATGAGCTAACCCAGGTGCTGGCTGAGATCTGTCTGGAGAACTACTGTATCATGCAGTACCAGATACAATTCCAAGGTGTGTTCTTTCACAGACCTCAGGGTTTTCAATTTTTTCATCGAGAAACAGATACGTATGTCAAATTTATTCCTACTGTAACTCCAACATAACTCTATTCAAGCTACTTCTCCATGGAGAAATTTGGCCCGGACTCTGGTTTTGCAATTTGTTATTAGCTACGTATAGCCAATCATTATTATGAAGAGGTGGTGGTCTTGAAAAATGAGTTTGGGCTGAAAACTGCCATATTTACTCTGACGGCAAGAAAGAATGTTTCTGCAACATTTGAAGAAAATTCATCCAATGGTTTTGCGCTACAGGTCATCATTACAAATTACCTTGATTTGACACTTTGGTCCAGATTCTCAGCTGGTGTAAATCAGTGTCGCTCCAGTTACTCCAGTGGACTTTGCCAATTCCCCATAGCCGAGTCTCTGGCCCTTTGGCTTTCAGCTAATGTTTTTGTCTCCCTATAGCTCAAATGGCTTATTACCCCCGTCAAACAGTCGATAGTGCCAAATTTCCTTAAACCCCCATCTCAGCCCATGGACTTGAGGAAGACAGACTGTAATTAAGCAAAGTAACTAACTATTTTTGTTGTGGCTAGTTTTGCAAGATTTATGACATCCTTATACCTTAACCTTCTTTGTAAATGATGTGATACATATGTAGCTACACAGTTATGTAGCAACCTTAACTGTTTTTTGACACACATTTTTGGAACTGAATAGAGTAACTGCTACTTATGGCATCATGGGTAAACAACTGTTCTGAATGAAACAAATACACCATAAACTTTACAATTGGCCGTGGTTTTGAACAGACTATTAAGAATTAAGCTATGAAAATCCTTCAAATGACCACTGGAGAGTGGAATTCTTATTATTTTTTTAAAGATATAATCTGGATTCCTCCTTTATTTCTTCTGATGTGTCAGGAACAGGGTTGAGGTCCAAACAGACTCTAGGTGCTTTCTTAAAATAATGTCTTTAGTCGTGTTGGCAAAAGTAACTACTCTCCATAAAATTTGATACTCCATATAAATTTCCTCACATTCACTTCACTCACCTGTTCATGGAATCTTACATTCTGATTAAACTGCAATCTTCCCCCTGAAGTGGGACATTAATGCACTAGGTAGAAGTCTCCTGGTGTGCACACAGTGTAGGACTACTGTAAGCAGAAGGGGTACTGGGCATGCTGGTGGCAGGAGGTGAGGTGGGGCCATTGCACATGGTGCTGCAGCTCATAGGTAACCTGGGTTAGGCCACCCTAAGTTAGAGCAGATGAGGGTTACTGCACATTATCCTGGGGCCCATTTCTGTTCCCAGAGCAGCCTGGAATCAGAAAGGTGCAAACTTCACATATCACAAATAGTACATCACCATAACTGATGTGCAGTGATACTATTCAATACTAAGTGTTATGTACTGTATTTAATTAAACCCATCCCATCCCCTCTTTCTCACCAAAGGGGGCGGGGGGGGAGGGAAACTGCCTCTGCAGTATGATTCCCACTCTGGAACCTACCGAGGTCTCTGAAGGTCTGGTGCCTATGCAGAGAGAGAAGTGGAGAAAGGGGAGGGGTACACATCATACCTGCCACCCCTGAACCATGGGGCTTAAACAAAACAGATAATACATCCACACACCAACTATCGTTTCCATTCTCCCATCTTCTCCCTTCCCGCCCCCCAAAACAAACACCAGGGTCCCGGGGGCTACTGCTGCCAGGGGGAACTTGTAGCAAGGCTGCAACAGATGGAATTGGTAGGGCTGCAATAGATAGGATCGGTAGGGCAGCATCGCAAGGGCCAGACACAGTATGGAAGCACAGGGCCTCTGTGCAGATAGCTCCTGCCTCCTACTAGAGATTTAATAGGTTTTGCAGCAGGCCCCTCAGCTCATTCCACGTGGAAGTCTGTATAGACGAGAGGCTGGGTGGTAGGCCAGGATGGATCCAGGTACAACTAACATAATTCATGATGGCAGGAAAGGTATGAAGAATGTTTCTGCAGAGCAAATAATAAAGAACCAATCAACTGGGGAAGTCATTTTGATATTCTCTCTGTCGAAAGGATAGACTTGGTATGTGATGACGACAGGGATAACTGTCCATATTTAGCTTTTTAATTTTTAAAGAGAGGCCAAATGGACAGGTTGGAACATAGTCACTGGTCCTGAGCTAAGCCAATAGGTCAAAGCTGGGAAAGGTCAGTAATGGCCAAAATTTGTTACCTCCCGACCCTAGTACAATGCATCTATCAAATGTATTGCTGTCCTTAATCAGGTCTTGCACAGACCAAAGAATCCCATCAAACCTAGAATTTATTTATCCAGATCAGGATTGAAGTACATCGATTGTCTACGGGAAGCAGGCAATGTCACTTCTTGTGCTATAAGTTGGCAAGTATTGTATAAATAAAAAGCCCCCCAGCACTTCTGCACAACAGGTCACAATTCAACTCTCCTGCATGGTAGTCTATTGTATTGTACTGGCAGTAAGTCAGATAATTTCTTACTGTAAACGTCTACCAAGATTGAAAGACTGTTTTTATTTCATCTTTCCGATACGGAATCCAACAAATTAAAAGGAAGATCAGCATCACTGAACATTTAATTTGCAAGAAGATTAAGAAATTAAGAACACTTAATTTGCAAGTGATGGTTTCCAACATTTTACACATATTTTTCAAACTTTTATTCTGAATAAATTGGATTTTACTGATTGAAATAGATGTGGGATTTTTTGCTGCCAATAAGAACATTTTAATAACTTGTATGGCTGGACAAGGCATTTCTCCATTATAACCAGATCAGTGAGGAGTCTGGAAAGATGTAGTCTTACAGAGTCTACATCTTGCAAGACCATATATACTTTCTAAGCTGATGGGAAATTAATATGGTCTCTTTATTGGAATGGAAAAGGGATTTCAATTTAACCTTGGGCTATTTCCCTTTCCAAAGAAACTGCATGAAGGCAACAATGAAAAATTGTAATCTCCTTAAAGGATAATAGAAGAGAGTTCAGCTGGAGTTTATAAAGCATCTTAGTTAATGGTTCATTTTAATAATGACAGGTCTATCCACCCAAACTGGCAAACCCTGATTTTTCAGAAGCTTATGACTCAAGATTACTTGTCTTACAGCACGGAAATGGAGTGGCATAATAAAAATATTCAAAGCAATCCCCCCTCACCTTTCTCGATCAGTGTGGACAGTTCCGCCATCCTCTCCGTCACTCAGGTCCAGAACCCAGGCACCTTCTTGGACTCAGCCATTTGTCTAAACCTCACAACTATGCTGTGTCTAAATCTTGCTGATTCTTTCTGCATAATTTCTCTAAGATAGGAACTCTCCTATCCATCTGCCCAACTAAAACACTCCTCTCAGCTCTCATCATCTCAATCTCTGTGACATCTTCTTCTCCTGCCTTTCTCATATCCATTTAAAATGTTGCTTGAAAGATCAATTTCCTAGCTCATTGCTTTGGCTCTCATAGTGAAGCCAGTGGAGGGCCTCATTTTCGATCACATCAAACATAAGCTACTGGTCTCCATTTTAAAGGCCTTTCATGGTGTGTTTTCACTCTACCTATCATTTCACATGCTACAGAGATGGTGACTCTGACCTCCATTCTGCCCCAGTGTCAGCCTTCATCACCCACTTGTTAAATTTGCAAACAAGTACCTTTATGCTTTCTCCCATGCTGCCCCTTATGCTTGGGGGGGAACATCCCTGTAAATATCCTCAATGCTCCATCATTCTCCTTCTTTCAATTACCTTCTTAACTCTCCTTTCCCATGATGCCTACAGAAAACTTGACCGCAGCCTATCATGATGACCAATATCATCTCATTGTTTTCTTGACTGCCTCATCTGTTTGTATCCACCCATTGTCTCATGTCTTATGCTGTAAGCTCCTTGGAACAGGGATTGTCTTTGCTCAGGGTTTGGACAGCACCTTAATGCAATGGTATCCTTGTCCAGGTGTGGGGCTGCTAGGTACCGTTGTAAAACAAATAGTATAACAGCCCACTTGCCATCCTCTGAAAAGGACAATTCACCTGATGCACCTCTGCAAGTTACCTGAGATCTTGAGGAACTACACTTATGATCAGAGAAAGGGCCAAATTATTCCTAATTCAAAGAATAATGCTACATTCTTTCCCACTGAGTGAACATTCCCCTGGCCTTAAGAAAATATGGTCAGAATCCCCTATAGATAGGGATTAACTTCTCCTTTTCACTTAAAACAGCCTCATGATTTTCTGCAGCTACCACTATCCCACACCGGTATTTAGCGAGGATCTTCAATCTTTGGTAGCTCTGCTCCTTACTTTCACTATTACATGGGCATCGTGAGATGTTTACTAGATTTATTTTAAGATTTTCAATTGGAAGGCAAGTATGTGCTTGTCCCAGACCATCGGGCTAGATCTGATGTGAAGGAAAAAAATCTTCTTTATGTTTTAACATCTCCAACCTAAGACTTCCTGAAGTCCCAAATCAGAATAATAGATTCCTAAGCCAGAAAGGACAATTGTGATCATCTAGTCTGACCGTCTGTTTAACACAGGCCATAGAATTTCTCCAACATAATTTCTAGAGCAGATCTTTTAGAAAAACATCTAATCTTAACTTAAAAATTGGCAATGATGGAGAATCTACTATGACTCTTGGTAAATTGTTCCAATGGTTATTTATCCTCACTATGGAAAATTTTTGCCTTATTTTCAGCCTGAATTTGTCTAGCTTCAACTTCCAGCCATTGGATTGTGTTGTACTTTTCTCTGATAAATTTTGAACAGCCCATTAGCAAAGATTTGTTCCCATTACAGGTACTTTTAGACTATAATCAAGTTACCCCTTAACCTTCTTTTTAAGCTAAATAGGATCTATAGGCATCTCTCAAACTTTCTTATTGGCCATGGTTCTATTTGATCCTACAATCCCTAACAATTTCCTTATAGCTCTGGGAGAAACTGGGAAAATTGACCCAGAAGCTCATTAGAAGGACACCAAATGGAATCTCTGATCATCACATTTCTCATAGCATACAGGCTTCTCGGGAACAGAATGCAGAACTGCTGCTCTCATACTGAGACAATTTCAGCCATCTACTCCAATAGGGTATATACAGATTTCAATGTGGAGCAAAATTTTGAACCAGGAATAAAATTCCTTCTTTTAAGGTTTAGCTCTGGGTTAGTAAGTAAGCAGTGGGGTGAATAAACTTCCTGCCCCTATTCAAGCTATTCCTTTGCACTGCCTTCTTTATTTTCCTTGGCCAGTTGGAACCATGGAGTTTGTCATGATAGATAAGGTTGTCTCTCTTACCAAAACTATTAAGTAAAGGCCACTCTTTTAGAATAACTTGCAATATCAGATTTACCTGCTTAGCATTATCTTGATCTGCTGTTGTCAGAACATCTTCATCTTTCAAACCTGGAAAGGAGGAGGAATCATTATTGTTTGGGCTTCTCCCTTTGAGGAAGGCCAAACACCTATTAATTGACCTATTCTAGATTTTGTTACTTTGTGATGAGATAGTGGGGTATACAAATAGAAGGGTTATAACCATGTGTTACAACTCAGGGCCCTGCAAATCTGTAATACACAGCAATCCCAAATGGGGAAATTCAGGCTTAAGAGGCCTCAGGACTTTCTGATGTCTGCTTACTCAGTATGGCAGCGGCATCTGCAACAGTCGGTAGGGGATGTGAAATCTCCACAGTATTATGTGATTAACATGATCTGGAATCAGAACCATTATTAAACATTGAAGTCCCTCCACCGTAAACAAGTACAACTTCAAGTTAAAACATTCTTGTACGTAAAGTCCTATAAGTGGGAAATGATTTAGTTTCATTCTCTGCTGATAAACAAACAGATTATTTTAGATTTAAAAACAGACAATTCTACTTATTGGGGAGAATAAAGGCACATTCTCTCCCTCCTGTTTTATAAACTCCCATACGTTTGTACTTACTGTGCACAGGCCAGTTTGTGCCATAAGCACACGTACCTATTCTTGCTTTTAGGTACAACTGTTAACTTCCACCCTTCACCTATCCTCTCCTTCCTTGTAGAAATAGTCTGACCTCAAAAGGACTCGGGTCCTAGATAAGAAATAACAGGAAAACAAAGCCTCTCCCACATCCACTGGATCTCTTCTGAAGAGATGTCCACACATTAATTCCTTAATATAGGACTACAGGGGTCTGGTTCATCACTGCGTTACTCAGTCTTCACTGGAGTTACAGCAGTGAACTGGAGTAGCACACTGGTGAGCCAAGGCCCAGGACTTTGCTGCTTGCTTTCCTGATTAATTAAATTAAAGTTAAAAAAAAATCCTAAAATGTGGCAAGTAAACATCTCAGTTTTTCCTCAAGTTTCTTCTTTATTCAAAATCATTCACTGAATGGCTGAGTGGGTCTTAGTCCAGTGTGGGGTTTTGAGCAGTTCATTACAAGCATTCAAAATTCCAACAGTGTTGATTAGACATATGGGATACATGGCACCCATGAGTCTTGATCTCACTTACATTGGTTTTATACCAATTTCATTGACTTCAATGGAGTTATTCTGAAGTTACACCAGTGGTCAATATGAATTGGGGGCCCAATCTGTTGCCTAGTGATGCCAATCAGAATCAGTCCGTTAACTTCAATGAGCGATGGATCAGGCTCCTAATGAGCACAACTCTCAGACTCAGGCTCCACAGGATACCGTTACAAACTCCAAATTTGCTTTGGCCAATAGTGTTAAATATTCTTGCCAGTACATCTTTTTAGGAATGTATTTGCAATTCTTTTGTTCTTATTTTTTGCAAACAGTTAAAACAAATTCATTTCTCTCTTCCATTTCCATCAGACCCATTGGTCCATTGAGAAATGAGCATGCACTCAAAAGCATCAGTTGTTTTTTTTAGTGGTCTCTGCTCAAGGCTCATGGGAACTAGATTCTTCACTAGTTGCTCAGTTCACCAGTGCTGCAGACGGTGTAACAGTTCTATTGTGTTTAGTAAGCCAAGAAGAAGAAAAAATCATTATTGTTAGTTTATAAACAAGACTTAATCACCTATCATCAATTGTAAAAAAGGAGTAAATATGTTGTAATTTATTCTAATAGGTTTGCACAAAAAAGCAATTAAACTAATGCAGTTTGACTTGTGTTCCATTAATAATGTACCCAATCATTACTACATTGTTTGAAAAGACTATATGCAGAATATTGTCTTATGGACTAATTTTTTTCTTGCAATTAGTTGCATACATTTGCTGACAGGCTAATTTATATTCAATTGCTTTAAAAGCAGAATCATTTTGTATTTAATTGCATTTGGTTGTAATCCATCTGCTGACAAATTTGTGTGTTTTGCTATTTATTTGCTAATGCTTTCCTCCACTACAGCATGATCAGTCATACGAGTTGAAATATGTTTTTGACAATATAAATACCACAGGGTAATTAAAGGCCAGATGTATGGCTGGTGGGAACAACTACTCGCTGCAATTCTATCTCCCCAGTTGAACTTTTTATTGTTGCTCTATAGAGATTGAATAAAAATATGATTAAAATGCAATTCTATGGCTTCTTGTTTGTTCTCAACAGCTGCATTAGGTGAAGGTCATAAGTGTATCAAACTATTTGGAAGGAGCAGCAAATTAGTTCTTTGATGCACTTTGCATTTTACCTTTTGCTGTTTGATTAGGTTCTGGTTAGCTTCACAGTGCCAGGTTCAGGAGCAATTCTACATTCAAGTCGCTGGAAGTACTGTAATAGGCAACCTGAGCAGCTTGGGCCCACACTTCCTCAAAACTCCTCTCCTGCTGGATTCAATATTTTGGAAAACCAGGAGAATTTTCTAAAGGGAAATAAAAAAAATTGTGGGTTAAATCTGGGGCAAAGGAAGAACTTGTACAGCAAGAATGGCAGACCAAATGAAATGAATCCCATTAAGAGACACCGTCACTGTTCAGAGGTCAACACACATCTGGATGGCAGGTACACTGGTGTGACACTGGAAAGTTTGGCTTGATCACCAGTTTTAGTCTCGTTGCTTGCGGTCCTAGGTGGCAGTGGCTGAATGAGCTATGGATGCAGCCTCTGGGTGGAGAGTACATAGCATCATTCAGCGGCTACTTCTCTGCCTCACTAAGAAACAGTGCTGATGGGCTCCAAAAATAAGTCCTTTCTAGTACTCCTTGTCCAGACAGCTCAGGCCATAATGCAAAGCTGAAGGGAGTGTTTAAACTGGGGAGTTGGGGGAAAGATCTGACAGACTCCAAGCCTCTCCACCTTCCATTAGGGAGACAGCAGCAAGGCTCAGGAAAATGCATACTGACCAGAGAGATGTGTGTTGAACCTACTTGTGCTAAAGAGACACATTTGTTCTTTAAACAAACCAGTCCAAGACAATCACATTTGGATACAGTGCAGTGGTTGCTGGTGCAACAATGGAGCCATAAGTTATAAGCCAGTATCCAGCACAGGCAGCTGCTGGAGCTATGGATCCAATCTACACATGCATAGTTGAAAGCGTGGGGAATACAAGGAATGTGAAGGAGCTCTATACATGGGGCAGCAGCCTTTTGGTGTGGTCAGAGTAACTGATAAACAAGGCTTTGTTCAGGAGCAAGAGTGTGCCCTTACTCCAGTACAGGCTTACAGCCTGTACAACTGCTTTGCCAGCATGAGGTGGGAGCTCAGTTACTATTGCTAGCTATGTTTGGTAAAGTGCATTTGGGAATGGGAGCCTGGTATGGCCCTAGAGGAAGGACTGCATTCACCATGTCTCTCTTTACTAGGTTCCTTTTGGTCATTTAACCCTCTGTATCATTACGGTTTAACCATACTGAGCTATATAGTGAGAAAGATGGATAAGGGAAATTATTACGATTGACTCCTGTTTCCTTAGGGTGCTTGGAGGAGCTCAGTGAAGCAGCAGCTAGATGACACCAGGCTGCCAAAATGGGTCTGGTTTGTGGATAAAATTTACAACACGCACAACCTTCTCCTCCATACATAGAGTTGTTTTTACAGCTATGAAATTGACCTAGAAGCCATGCTCACTGGTCACCAAGGAGAAGTTGTGTGTGTAAAGATGAATGGCTACGAAACCTTACAGATCGTGGTTATATTGACTTGTACTTGAGTTAAGAGGAGTACTAAGTGTAGCTATTGAACGACTGCACTTCTTAGTGGTAGAAAATGTGGATTGTAGTACATAGCACGGGGCCTAGCATCACTACTGCTACACCACACTAAATGGGTAATTCAGCTGACATATCCCAGTTGTTGCTGTCAATTCTGCATGCAAATGCAGAAACGGTTTATATTTCTTACTGAATTCAGTCCAGCCCAGTTCACTGTAAACACATGGAATGTTTATGACTGCCAGTGTTTTATGTAAAATGTGATGCTTGTGCCACTCAAGTATTGGGTCAGAGTATTTTATTTGCATTTTGTTAAAACCAGGCTGATCCTATCTGGCAGTTGCCAGTGGTGCTTTCTATTGTATCGAAACCTCAGAACCACTCTTGAAACCATACAGTCATAATAGGATAAATGAGTTTTGTACCAGGACTTAGGCCTTCTGCAAACACAAAAGTTGCACCAAATTAAATATATAGGTGTCCTTGTGGGGACACTCTTAATCAGTCTGAATGCCTTTTTAAATCGAGTTTTAGCTTGCATATTCCTTATCGATCCTCCCGGTATAAGTCAGTACAGCTCTGACTTCCTTGCAGCTCAGCAGATTGAAATCAGCATAGTATCTGTCTCAAAGAGGGGATGGAGTGTGGATCTGCAGAGGCAATATATTCATAGAACAATAGTTATTGGTTAATATCCTTTCCACCTGGGCACAGAGCCCAGAACATGCAATAGCAATCTTTAGTTCAGATCAGAGTGAATAATTTTGCCTCATGTGTTAGGCGCACCAGAATAACTAGGCATAATGCAATAACATGAGGATGGATTGTCAACCTTAACTTAAATTGCCTGGCTTTAAGTGGTTTATGTTGCAACTAGTATCTGAAAGCCTGTGCTGGTGCACGAGTGTGGCAGTTGTGCCAAGTAATCCACCATCTGTGCATTTCCTCCCTCTCCCCTCATACAACCAATGAAATTGTAACATTCAAATTAGCTGCAAAATAAGTGTGATTGGTTGAGTTACCTCTGCTATCATAATGGTCTAAGATTCTTGGCATGGCATAGATACATGCCTGCCGTTGCACAAGTATGAGTCCAAATGGCTGAGAACTTAAAAAATTGGATGGTCACAGCCCACGAATCCCGGTGATGACTGAACATGGTGATATGCTGAACAAAAAGAACTCTCAGCTATGCTTAGATCTGTTTCCATTGGTTCAGATGGACTCAGACATTCTAGCTGCAAAGTGACACACAGGCAGGTGACAGTCCTGGAATCTTATGATATAGATTTTTACAGTCATTTGGACTCACGTTTTATGAGAATTCTATGTGCGCATCAGAGTGATAGCTGCCCCACCTGCTGTGTCTTTAGGATATACGGAAAAAAGGTTTGACTTATTTTAGCCTTATAATGTTATTGCTATTATTATTTGTATTACAGAAGTGCCAAGAGGCACCAACTGAGATCAGGATTCCACTGTGCTATGCCCTGCACATACACACAGTAAGCAACAGTCCCTGCTCCCCAAAAGTTTACAGCTCAATAGCCAAGGCAAAGGAAGTAGCAGCATCCCCATTTTATAGATGGGGAATTGAGGCCCAGTGAGGCTAAATGACTTGCACAAGCCAAACAGGAAGTCTTTTGGCAGAGGTGAGAATTGAACAAAGATCTCTGCAACTCCAGGGAAGAGTATTAACAAGACCAGCGTTCTTCTCTGGATGTTATCAATGGACCAGATTTTGACATCCTTATTCATGCTGAGTAATGCATTACTCCATGAGTAAGCCCTTTGGCCTCAATGGAACTACTGGTAGAGTAAGGTCAATGTGAGTAAAGATGGCAGAATCGGACTCTCAGCATGGTTTCACTGAGAGTTTTGACTAACGGATGCATAAACTGTCTCAAAGATTGAAACACAATCACCGTAAGTGCCTCTAGGGCAGGGAATGTGCTCCTACTGCTCAGTTTAAACTGGTTTAACAGAAATAAAAGATACCAAATTATTTTTTTAATATAAAGCTCTTTATAAGACAATGTATGGAGGGTTTTTATAAATTCTTTTTCTTTCTACTCAACTTTGGTAGGCACCGATACATATCAGTTTTTCTCAGCCTCCCAGTGGGATTGAATTTAATCTTGCAATTACCACATTTTCAGACAAACAGTTTCTGACTTTGGATAAAAGACCAAGGTCAAATTAGAATTCTGTTTCCTCACGTTTTAGGTTGATTTTTTTAAAATAGTAACTGAATTACTACTTCTTATGAGTATTAAGAGCTGGTAACTGTACAGGAATATTGAGAGACCAGGCATATATAAAAATATCAATTCTTTTGAAATGATTTAAGCACAAATCATATTTAGATAACAGCCTAAGGCTAAAATAAATGTCTAGAAAAAGGATTTCTCCCCTTGCCACTTCTCCCCCCCCAACTTTAGGAATCAAATAGGGGTCTACAATTATCAAAGAAGCCTAAGAGATTTGAACATCCAGTGCCCTTTGGGGAAATCTTAGCCAGAGTTCGTCTCCCCTCATTATAGACTGTAAAGCTCCCTTTATGATATGCATTCTTGGATAGGACTGTACAACAATCCCAATGAAGCACTGTAAAGAGACAGTCTGGAGGAATAGCAGATGCTTTGTGTGGACAGACAAAAGGAACTGGATAGTTATTCTCTGAAAGAGTGAGGACTTAGCCGAGTGAATAACTCACAATGAATAACTTATATAATGATTTCACCTTTTTCTATTTTGTTTGGAAAAAACACACACAAAAACTAGCAATTCTCAGATGTATTGGTTATGTAAACATACTCCAGGGCATCTTCAGCCAATAATTTCTCAGTTTTCAAGCAGTTATTTTATGGTTGCTGTGATGGCCAGTTCCATCAGTCTTTCCTCTGCCCTCAGACGGAGTTACACGGAGGTCGATTTGTTGCACAAACTTCAAATTGCATGTTTGATTGTAATATTTGTAATTCATGCCATGTTGGTTAGGTACATAAGTCAGCCAATCGGGAAAAGGAAACAATACCACATGACCTACATAGCTAACAAGGTTTGAAATGTGAACTTCGTAGTTGGATTTATTATTTTGTGTTACCGTAGCCCCTAATAATACTAAGAATAATACGGTTCCCTCTCTGTGTTCAGTCTAATATGGTTTAGCTAGGGTATTTAAATCAACAAATATATTAGAAAACAGCACCACAATATCTCAGATCAATTTATTTTTTCCCTGTGATCATCCTAAACAAGCTGCTTTAGGAACCCCTCTCTCACTCTTGTAGATTGGGGCCAGATCCACAAAGGAATTTGGGCAATTACATCCAGCCTTTAGGTGCCACCAGCATTCACAACCCCCCCGCTCTGCTGCCACCTAAATTTTTAGGCACCTAAAATCACTTGGCACCTAAATATCACTGTAAAAGTTCCCTAAGTTTCTGCCTCTGCACATGAGCAGGCCTCACTGTAGGCATTCAGACACCAAAGCCGCAGCGCAATCCTCAAACTAGGGGGCAATAGGCCCACCTATCTCACCTGCGGGGCCTGATCTGGTAGGCATGGTTAGAGCACACCTAACCAAATCAGAGCCCAGGCAAAATCTTGGGGAGTGGAGGGGAGAGGAGGAGGTGGTGGTGGTGCCATCTCCCTTGTAACTTATAGCCCAGTTGCCTGCATTTGCACTTGCATAATCCTTAAAGGC